GATACGGCCCGCTCCTGCTATCCGCCTGATGCTGACAGAGTTCGATTACACTATTAGAGAATGCGTCTCTCTACGGTGCCTCCTCATTGTTCATCACACAGGCTTGTACCTGTACAGGACAATGATGTCTGCATAGAGGGGTGTCCCTTCTACATTCAATTCTATATGGAGGTACGTGCCACATACCGGATTTACCGCTCATGCTTCAGCTCTTATACAGGTGTTTAGTACTTCACTGGTATGCAAGGGTGACGATGCTTCTTAACCACTGGGTAAGGGGAGAGAACCCATCCATTTAATCTAACGTCCGTGCTACTGACTTCGTTATAAAGGGCTACCTGATCGTGCAGGGTATAACTGTTTAGACCGGATTTCTCTATTTCACCTTCTATAATGGACAGGTCTGGCATGGAACAGGATCGTACAGGCGATTAATCAGACTATTCACTCTCCCCTAAGCAGTCGCCAGTTTTCACGGATGGAAGTCCTGCTTCAGACCCACTCACCAGGGCCGTTTCGTTTTTTTTCCGCCGGCCTACACTTTGAAACGATTTTGATGACTTTGTGCTCCTCCACGCGAGTACAACAGGGAGGACTCTTCTTCATCTATGCAGGGCCCTATTACCCTTGGATCCGGATCACCTATCACTATATTTGGTTGGAAATCTCATACTCTGGTTTAGTTTCCCTTTTTGGTTATATCCAGGATTCACAGGTCCTCAGAGTAGTCTACCACCATTTCGCTACGCTAGTTCTACCACAGTTGTGGGTTATGCAGTCCATTTGGAGTACTGGAAACACTCTTACCGGCATAATAGGTTCATTCTCGGACGAGACCACTCACTGAATAGGTCATGAGGAAATGATAAGACTCGGTTCGTTTACGGAAATTATGGTAGACTCAGACGCATTACCTGAGGTTGCAATTTTGTCTACAAGGCCACATCGCCTGGTGATCCAGCACGAGCGAAGAAGCCATCTTCCACATCAAAGGTCGAGATCTGGTGGCAGTTTTCTCCGCAATCAAAAATCCACGGATGACCTTCAGTGTATTACACTACAGGGAAATAGCTATTAGTCAGCTTTGCAGTTCATGGACGTCTTCTAGGAGACAGGTCATAGCCCCAGGTACAGTGGATTTTGCAACGGATGGAGTTTTCACGTATTTTGGGGTACATCGACAGCTAGCATCGTCATTGATCCGTCTACTGTCACTTCTAGCAGTTGGATGGTCCATTGCTCTGGTTATCTCCCGGAATAGGTACCAGCGAAACAAACCGCTTTGGATTTGTTGGCTGAGCGTTAAAACAGCAAATACAAAGCCTCCTGTCATGTTATAAAATTGTAGATTATGCTAGCTTTAGTGTACCTATAATTTTAATTTTATTAATGACAGGAGGCGAGTATTTCCCACCCATTCTTATCCCTCCCTGGTTTAATTTTAGAGTTTGGGTTCATCAGGTACGTATGCAACTCTGTTTGTTGTCTCTGCTACCTGTCACTTGTTCTTATGTCTATTTTCCATAAGTAGGGTTGGGATATCTACATACAGGGAGTGCAGAATTATTAGGCAAATGAGTATTTTGACCACATCATCCTTTTTATGCATGTTGTCTTACTCCAAGCTGTATAGGCTCGAAAGCCTACTACCAATTAAGCATATTAGGTGATGTGCATCTCTGTAATGAGAAGGGGTGTGGTCTAATGACATCAACACCCTATATCAGGTGTGCATAATTATTAGGCAACTTCCTTTCCTTTGGCAAAATGGGTCAAAAGAAGGACTTGACAGGCTCAGAAAAGTCAAAAATAGTGAGATATCTTGCAGAGGGATGCAGCACTCTTAAAATTGCAAAGCTTCTGAAGCGTGATCATCGAACAATCAAGCGTTTCATTCAAAATAGTCAACAGGGTCGCAAGAAGCGTGTGGAAAAACCAAGGCGCAAAATAACTGCCCATGAACTGAGAAAAGTCAAGCGTGCAGCTGCCACGATGCCACTTGCCACCAGTTTGGCCATATTTCAGAGCTGCAACATCACTGGAGTGCCCAAAAGCACAAGGTGTGCAATACTCAGAGACATGGCCAAGGTAAGAAAGGCTGAAAGACGACCACCACTGAACAAGACACACAAGCTGAAACGTCAAGACTGGGCCAAGAAATATCTCAAGACTGATTTTTCTAAGGTTTTATGGACTGATGAAATGAGAGTGAGTCTTGATGGGCCAGATGGATGGGCCCGTGGCTGGATTGGTAAAGGGCAGAGAGCTCCAGTCCGACTCAGACGCCAGCAAGGTGGAGGTGGAGTACTGGTTTGGGCTGGTATCATCAAAGATGAGCTTGTGGGGCCTTTTCGGGTTGAGGATGGAGTCAAGCTCAACTCCCAGTCCTACTGCCAGTTCCTGGAAGACACCTTCTTCAAGCAGTGGTACAGGAAGAAGTCTGCATCCTTCAAGAAAAACATGATTTTCATGCAGGACAATGCTCCATCACACGCGTCCAAGTACTCCACAGCGTGGCTGGCAAGAAAGGGTATAAAAGAAGAAAATCTAATGACATGGTCTCCTTGTTCACCTGATCTGAACCCCATTGAGAACCTGTGGTCCATCATCAAATGTGAGATTTACAAGGAGGGAAAACAGTACACCTCTCTGAACAGTGTCTGGGAGGATGTGGTTGCTGCTGCACGCAATGTTGATGGTGAACAGATCAAAACACTGACAGAATCCATGGATGGCAGGCTTTTGAGTGTCCTTGCAAAGAAAGGTGGCTATATTGGTCACTGATTTGTTTTTGTTTTGTTTTTGAATGTCAGAAATGTATATTTGTGAATGTTGAGATGTTATATTGGTTTCACTGGTAATAATAAATAATTGAAATGGGTATATATTTGTTTTTTGTTAAGTTGCCTAATAATTATGCACAGTAATAGTCACCTGCACACACAGATATCCCCTAACATAGCTATAACTAAAAACAAACTAAAAACTACTTCCAAAAATATTCAGCTTTGATATTAATGAGTTTTTTGGGTTCATTGAGAACATGGTTGTTGTTCAATAATAAAATTAATCCTCAAAAATACAACTTGCCTAATAATTCTGCACTCCCTGTATTAGGGTATTTTGGCTGCTACACTGGGTACCTACATGTTTGTTCAGAGTACATTTCATTGGCTAACCAACCTGTTAGATTCACATATTAGTTGTTAATTAATGGTAAAATAATTTAACGTTTAGGTCATGTTATCAAACTGAATGCATTTTTCATAATCTGCTCCTTTCTTGCTGGGAAAGGAAAATAACATTTCACCTACAGTGTACTAGTTTGATTATTCTTTGCAAAAAATTAGGTAACCAGGCAGGCAAGTGAAAGGTGCAGATAAAGGCACATTCCCTTATTATGTGATGAGCATTGCACAGGCAACATATACTCTAAATTGGGTAAAGCTTACAGATAATACAGCAATGTGCAGTGTTGGCCAGAAGCTGCAAAGGCCAGTAAGTACTGTCATGTTTAAAAAAGGGTGTTGGACAATTCACACTATTTATAATATAATAGCAAGGTTTAACACCTCCATAAAAAGTTGACATTTGTGAGACGTACAGTCAACGGGTGTAGGTGTACTCCAGGACTCTTCCTGGACCCGCAAAGTTGCTGGTGATTATTGCCCTCACCTAAACATCAACAAAGACTTGATGAAGGGTGAAAATAGTGAACACTTTATAGAGTGAAACATGTGTTTATATACACAGAGCCCCAGCATGAGGTATCTAGCAAAAGCGTAGGTAAGCATGCCCAGGCACCTCTGTGTCTGAGAGAGGATTGCAACACACATCGCTAATTCAATCAACTCCCAGGCGCTTAATACACTTGTCTCCCAAACTTTTCAACAGCCTCGAAAAACACAGATAACAGTGAAAAGCCCCACACATCTGAAAAAATAGCACTCTAATCCGAGGTGTTAAGCAGAAATGCCACATAGTTAAAGTTTTGACCTGGAAATAGTGCTTCCCTCTGGCCTTGGTCGGCACACCGAAGGTGCCGGGTAGGTCTTAGTTAGAGCGCTCTCGCTGGGGGTGCCTGAAAAAGGTTCAGGGAAGTCATTTTATGTAAATATAGGTGTTTTAAGTAAAAATAATACTGGTTCTTCACAACTGGTACTTAATTATTCAGGTGGAGATTATCCAGACAGAACTCTGCATCTTTTTCAGTACAATAATAATTAGTTTATCACCTAAAACCAACACATCATATATTGTATTGACAACAGAGTGATCTAAAGCTAAATCTGTTTGCAACTTTGAATTCCAGACAAATTATTTCAATTATTGTGGCACAATTGGATAAGCAGTGTGTCAGGTGCAATTATGCAAGAAGGGGATTCAATGTTCTCCACTTATAATTGAATATATATGTTTTGTTAGCTGAATTGTCAGAAAAATAAAGTATGTATGTCTGTGGGGATGCTAGCCATAATGATGTTTGTAGTGTTAACCTCAACCATACCAGACACCTTATGTAATGTGTCACAGGATTGCTTTACTTTTGGTTGTACATGGTAAGTGGTAATATACTTTTTACATTATCTACCAAGTCCATAAGTTATCTTAATATACAGATACAATTACTCTTAAATTATCATTGGAGTTCAATTATGCTAGCTGAGAAACTTGCAACATTTTGAAACGCTGGGCCTGGACATCAGCTAAATGCCTCCCCCCCCTCTTCCCACCCTCTTTAATATTTCTAAACGTATGTAATTTGCAAGCCAGGCAGTTGACATAGAATGTACATACAATTATTTTCAAACTAAAAATTGGTTTCTGTGTCCAGTGCTTGACTAAGCTGGAAATTGAATTTAGCCTTTAATAGTGTAAAGAGGGGGAGTAAACTAAGTGTATGATTGTAATGACTTTTTGTTGTCATCAGTCTTGATGAAATTAATTGAATCCTAAAATAATTACCTTACCTACTAAATTATCTTATTGTGTTTTATGTACAGTTTACAATTTGCTATGGATCTGGCTGGTGAATTAAAAAAAAATGTCCCTGATGCATGGAAAGACATCGCAAATCAAATCAAATTGCCATATGATTCCAAAATGAATTATCACCCAGAATATGATGGATACACAATTGGTAAATCTAAATGCTGAATTAATTTTGTAGATTAAGATGTAGATGTGTTTTTTGTATAGCATCATCTACATATGCAAGAAAAAAATATGTGAACCATTTGGAATGATATGGATTTCTGCACAAATTGGTCATAAAATGTGATCTGATCATCATCTAAGTCACAACAATAGACAATCACAGTCTGCTTAAACTAATAACACACAAAGAATGAAATGTTGCCATGTTTTTATTGAACACACCATGTAAACATTCACAGTGCAGGTGGAAAAAGTATGTGAACCCCTAGACTAATGACATCTCCAAGAGCTAATTGGAGTGAGATGTCAGCCAACTGGAGTCCAATCAATGAGATGAGATTGGAGGTGTTGGTTACAGCTGCCCTGCCCTATAAAAAACACACACCAGTTCTGGGTTTGCTTTTCACAAGAAGCATTGCCTGATGTGAATGATGCCTTGCACAAAAGAGCTCTCAGAAGACCTACGATTAAGAATTGTTGACTTGCATAAAGCTGGAAAGGGTTATAAAAGTATCTCCAAAAGCCTTGCTGTTCATCAGTCCACGGTAAGACAAATTGTCTATAAATGGAGAAAGTTCAGCACTGCTGCTACTCTCCCTAGGAGTGGCCGTCCTGTAAAGATGACTGCAAGAGCACAGTGCAGACTGCTCAATGAGGTGAAGAAGAATCCTAGAGTGTCAGCTAAAGACTTACAAAAGTCACTGGCAAATGCTAACATCCCTGTTAGCGAATCTACAATACGTAAAACACTAAACAAGAATGGATTTCATGGGAGGATACCACAGAGGAAGCCACTGTCCAAACAAAACATTGCTGCACGTTTACAGTTTGCACAAGAGCACCTGGATGTTCCACAGCAGTACTGGCAAAATATTCTGTGGACAGATGAAACCAAAGTTGAGTTGTTTGGAAGAAACACACAACACTATGTGTGGCGAAAAAAAGGCACAGCACACCAACATCAAAACCTCATCCCAACTGTGAAGTATGGTGGTGGAGGCATCCTGGTTTGGGGCTGCTTTGCTGCATCAGGGCTTGGACAGATTGCTATCATCGAAGGAAAAATGAATTTCCAAGTTTATCAAGACATTTTGCAGGAGAACTTAAGGCCATCTGTCTACCAGCTGAAGCTCAACAGGACAATGACCCAAAGCATAGAAGTAAATCAACAACAGAATGGCTTAAACAGAAGAAAATATGCCTTCTAAAGTGGCCCAGTTAGAGTCCTGACCTCAACCTGATTGAGATGCTGTGGCATGACCTCAAGAAAGCGATTCACACCAGACATCCCAAGAATATTGCTGAACTGAAACAGTTCTGTAAAGAGGAATGGTCAAGAATTACTCCTGACCGTTGTGCACGTCTGATCTGCAACTACAGGAAACATTTGGTTGAAGTTATTGCTGCCAAAGGAGGTTCAACCAGTTATTAAATCCAAGGGTTCACATACTTTTTCCACCTGCATTGTGAATGTTTACATGGTGTGTTCAATAAAAACATGGCAACATTTCATTCTTTGTGTGTTATTAGTTTAAGCAGACTGTGATTGTCTATTGTTGACCAATTTGTGCAGAAATCCATATCATTCCAAAGGGTTCACATACTTTTTCTTGCAACTGTAATTAAGATGGTTAACATTACTCGACAGAAGCTACCAAGCGTCCCTAGGTGTAATCCGTTAATGAAAACAAATAATATTCTATATTTGTGATATATGATGCATTCAATGTATGTGGGCGTGATTTAAGGCAAGTTATTTTTTCATAACCGGTTCACTTTAAATTTGGGACTAAAGAAAGTATTTAGGTTCTGGGAGGGGCTAAATGTAGGGTTGGGGAAAAGGGTTATGCATCACTTAGTGCTATCCCTGCCTTCCTGTTTATTCTCACTGTGGCAAAACCAGCCACTTCAGAATGTATTTTTATGTGTGTGATACTATCCCTTTAAAGACTGTTAGAACCAAGCTGATAACTGTATATGTATATTGTGCGAACGAGAGCATTAGTATGCTGGCGGCAAAAAAGCCACCAGCATTCATACAATAGTTTCACGAACAGTGAATTTCAACACTGTTCGTGAAACGAACTAACTACCCAATGGGAGACCACACACAGTAGGTCCTTCGGTAATTATTGCGATTCAGGGTGGCCGCCGTTCGGCTACCGACCACGCAGCGGTCGGCCATCTTGGATCCTTTGTTAGCCCAGCCGTATTTGGTGGTCGAGCACATAGAACTAAAATTGGCTACTCGACGGCACGAATACCGCTGCACTTCCAGGCCGTTCGGGAGCACCGGTCCTTCAGTAGTTTGTTCCCCGATATGCATTCGGTACTTTAAGGTGAATGTAAAATAATATGTATTTTCGTGCGGCGTTCGGTTATTTATGCTGGGATCTGAGCGGTACTTTCACGAAAGGTGTGCTCAGACTCCAGCTATCTGCCGAACGGTCATTCGGTAAAATAACGTGAATAATGTGAAAGTTCTGTAATTTTGTGTAAAATGTCAGTTCTGCTGCACGGAGGGATAATCCACTTAACTGGGTATTCTAGTGGGAGTATCCCTCTCGTGCAGCTGTGCATGATGGGAGAAATGTCCGGGTTATTAAGTCCCCCATGTAGTCCCCTACTGTACAACCCCTGGAATGTCAGTAAGAAAACCCCTTGCATGGGGAATCCCATAAATACTGTGACTTGTGATTAAAAGCTCAGTTGACTCCCAGCCTATGTGTCGTCTAGTTCTTGGGAAGGAAGCATCTATACACCGCTACCGGGATTACTGTATGCTGTACTTATTTTGCCTGGAATATTTTATGCTGTTCCTGTTACCCAGCGGAGATATCGTGGATTATACTACCTCTCCGCTACACTCACATACAGACATGGGAGGAGCTGGGACAGCACTCCGTTTTACACCCGCCATGGCTGTTTATGCAACTCTATCAAAGATATGCGGCTGAGTGGATTACAGAGGACACAGGCTAATGGTACTTGTCTAACTCCCCAAGTTCACTCAAGCGCCAAAAGGGTACATTATTAATGTTATAAACAGGGATCTGCTCAAGAGACCCTGTGTAGTGTTTATGGTGCCAGTAGCTCCCTGGTGCTCTTTTAGTTTGACTCTTACCTTGGTCCTGCTGCTAGCAGGAAAAGCCTTTTGACGATAGAAGCATTCATTAATTTGTGGTGAGTTTCAAATTCAATGAGTAGCTGTAGTGAGCAAACTGGCATCAGGCTTATACAGCTCTAAGAGGAACAGGTTAAAAAAAATGCACATTAATAGTTGTGCCAATGTAATACGTTAACTAAGAGCTAATTGCACAAGTCTTGTTATAGGTGTCTTAAACCCTTGCATAGTCTTTTTGTAACATATGCAGCCATCTCACAAAAGCGTTTGGAGGACCCAGAATAGCTTGGAAATCTCAGCCGTTTGTTTATTTTCTTTTTTTTCTTTTGCAGACGCATACCTCCTCTAAGTATGACTATTTTGGGGGTATGGTGCATTTTTGGTATCCAACTATTGTATGGTTTGGTTTGTATGAGTGAATTAAAGTCTCTGCAAAAATCGCAGTTCTAGAAACAGAACATCCTATGTATATTGTATTAAAAGAGAGTGAGACAACTCCAACTTAAAAGTGGGCAATTAACTAATATTCAATGTACAATCGTACATTCTAGTTTGGAATTCTTTCCATTGCCATATATGTTAAGGGTTGTCTTCTTTTTCATAGGTGAGAAGGTGAAACAGGCAGATGTTGTCTTGCTAGGTTATCCCATGATGTTTCAAATGACCACTGAGCAACGCAAAAATGACCTCGAAATATACGAATCCGTAACTGATGTTGATGGTCCTGCAATGACTTGGGTAATGGTACTTGATTGATGTTTCTTGGATTACTATAATCTGACTAAAGAGTTTACTTATACTTTTATGTAACACATCTAGTTTTTAAAATAAAATTTTAGCAATCACGTATGTCCTACACAAATATAAACAGACCTCAGTAATAAATTGTGAGCGCTTAAATCTGCTGTAGTAATATAATATATAAAAGAGGTAAATGCATAAAAGGAACAATATAGTGCCAGGAATACAAACATTTTATTCCTGACACTATGGCCCTGAAGTGGCTGTTTAGGTGGCCAGTTCCTCTTTTGAACTCTTTACTCCTTCGCTGTGTCGGTCATGCTGTGGCTGGCTTCTATGGTTAATATGACGGGGCTCCAATACTACGCCAGAGTACCTCTGCCCAGTCCTCTTCCTAGCCACTTTCAGAGCACCCTGGAATGCTTCAGCCCCAGTCGCTGAAGCTGGACTGGGCTCTCTCAGGAGCTCTTCCACCCATCCAGACTGTAGTTCTCTCCTTCCAGACAGGTATCGTTCCCTCTGGGTTTTTCTCTTCAGCTCCTTTCTCAGGCAGAGATGTATAGTATTACATGTGTTTTCTTGTACTATGGGAGATAATTGTGTTATCGTGTCTGTGTGTATAAGAGGAGAAAATAATTAGTTTATTATTCAATAGCTATTGTGCAATGCGTCTTGGTGTTAGGCAATTATGTCTTGGACACCAAGACTCCAGTGAGTGACTTGTATTGTTCTGTTTGATGACCCCATGTTGTGATTTCTCCTATATAAACCTGTGTTGTGTTTAATAAAATCAGTTCTACTTCACCCTTCACTAAATCTCGACTAGTGTTTTGGGTGAGACTGCTATACAATTATATCACTGTGTACTGATCCAGGGTGTAAAAGTTCCATGAAGACACCAGTCAAGCTGGGGCAGAAGCATTCCAGGTTTTCCAATGTGGCTGCTAGGAAGCAAGCTTGGCGGAGGTACCCAGTCCGTGTACAATGGGCTTCGTCACAAGAAAACTAACATACTAAGCTATATTTTTACTCAGGACTAGCCCAAATTTGCATAAAATTAAACTTGCTATGACAACTCAACAAATAGCCAAATCATATCGGAAACTATACAGGAACTTATAACATATTTATAAAGGGCTGTGGAAGACAATAACTAACATGAAATATCTCCCCTGCCTATAGATTTCTTAATATGCAAGTTAAAAAGTTTTGCTATTAAGGTAGTGCATATAGGGATTTCAAAACCTGTACAACAGATGGCACTGTACAGGCTCCACAGCCAAATCCACCCAGTTGATTCATAGCAGCAGCAGGAAGGAGAGCACACAAAACATTTAACCATAAACAACCACATTACACACACTCTGCACCCACAATGGGCACAGGGTGACTTAAACATAGGAGTCATCCAGGGACCTAATTAAATTGTCGATCTTAAGCTCCTGGTGATGGTGACTACTGTCACAACTGCGATCATCATAGGAAACGCATTGTGAAGCAAAATACAGCATCTTTATGGGGAACATTCAGTGTCTCCATGCTCTGCATGGACTAGGAAGCATCTTGAGTGGCCATCTGACTGATGGCAGCAATATAAACACTGCCTGATCTCTGAAAAGGTAGTGTTTACACTGAAAAGCCTGCAGGGACAGGCTATAAAAACCAGAACCACTGTATTAAGCTGTCATGGCTCTGCTAACTATAATGTCCCTTTAATGTTTCTTAAACCAGTCTTCTAGAATCACGAACAGCCCAGATTTTATGGCTAGCTGTTTAAATACAGTGTGATCTTAAAGGCACCCAGACCATTTCATTTGAATGAAGTGGTTTTAGTGCAGCGCCCCTGTCATTTGCAAAACCTCAATGTAAAACATTTAGGTTTTGTTCAATCAGCAAGGTTTTCTTTAAAGGTTTAACATACCTCCAGTGACTGTCTTCCTTACAGCCACTAGAGCTGATTTTCATCTGCCATAATCGGTTATTTAATTGGCTGCTTCTCAGCTGTGAGGATTGGTGATCTCAAGCGAAGAGGCCGGGTGGCCATGGTGAGACCAGTGTACCACAGTCTACATGGTGGGTAAATCTTACCTTTCAAACACTCAATTGGGAGGGGCAGACACCTAAATAAGCAGAGTAACACTATAGCGTTTGGAATGCATGTTTGTATTCCTACCGCTTTAGTGTTCCTTTTAAACATGTGTAGAACTTAAGCAGATTTGAACTACAGGTACTGCAGTAGCTTTGAAAGCTACATTGATTTGATCTTTGTATGAGTTTATCATTTCTAATAATAAATTTATAACATGATTTTGGAATTTCAATTTTTATTGTGGTACACCACTATGTGAGTGAACAGAATCATCCTCAGAACCTCCCCTTTTAGTGCTCCTTTAAAAGATAAAACTCCTGAACTCTCTTTCTATGCAGAGCATGTTTGCAATCGGCTGGATGGAATTAAAGAAAGCACAGGTGGCGCAGGAGCAACTGAAGAAATGCTTTGCAAACATCACAGAACCTTTTAAGGTGAGAATTGTTGTTGGATCTTTAGTCTTTCCGTAATAGAATCAAATGATTAAATATGGTCCTGCAGTGACAGTACAAGTTCCCCTTTTTTTTCTTCCTTGAACAGCTATACGACTGAATCACAAAACAAACGACTCTCTCACAATGCATGAACATTTTTATTTTGATTTGTAATTCAAAATGCTGTTCCTGGTGCCAGGAAAAAAGAGGAGTGAAATGGAGAATAAGCAGTTTTTTGGTTTTTTTGGGGGGAGGGCAAATAAATAGCTTTTGTTTTTCCATAATGGACAAGAGGTCTGTCCAATCATGTGGATCGTATCTCCTGTCCAATTAAGAGATTAAAACAAAAATGTTGATTTTTAAACTACTATCATTGATACAGCCAAACAATGTTGATTTTATACACCTATCAAGTGACAACATAACAACAGAGGAGAAAAGGAGGAGCAGTTAAACAATATATACTTCCAAGGAGGATTCCTCCTGACACTCTGACTGTTGGCAGTTATTGAGGGAGACAGATCAGCAGTGATTGTGTGACGAGCTACTGCTAGCTAGGTAAAACAGTGTTTAGGTTACTGCTTTGTCTACTACTATTAGCCACTGGCACTTAACACCAACTTGGAATCAGCAACTTACAGTTTGATAGTTTTTATTTTTGTTTAGTATTTGTTAAATTAAAATCTTTTGTTTTTTTGTTGGGTGGTAAGGGGGTATGTAGTCCTATAAAAAAAAAAAATATATATATATATATGTGTGTGTGTGTGTGTGTGTGTGTTTTTTTTAATTTTATATATTTATATAGTTCCTCTGGCCTAGCTACTGCATAGTGGCACTCACACACATGTTGAGTTGAACATAGCCTTCTTGTCAGGATGACATATGACCCAACAGGCAGAATTAAGTAGAAATGAAAGAAACAAAGAAATGTATCACCGGGCCTTAGAATTTAATACAAAAGAGAATGGTCAGGGACACAAAGACATAATAATGAGGATACAAATCAAAAGGTCAAGAATATCAGAATACAGAATAGTCAAAAACAAGTCAAAGTCAAAATACCAGTAGGGAAAGCAAGATGAAAACGCTCTCTAATAACCACAAGTGAACACCATGACGGAACTGAAGGATACGTGAAATAAGATTAAATACCTTACTGTTGGCAGTGATAGGCAGGTTCTGGTCACTTGACGTCAGAATGTGCTTGCATGATGACGCACGGATGTCTGTCATTTTCCAGACTGTCCCTTTAACTATTCTAAGTGCGCAGCGGCCAGCCTATGTTAGTGAGGGAAGATTCAGAACAAGAAAGTACTATGGCAGCAAGTCCACTGGTGCTCTATTTGATTCTGTGCAGTTGTTACCGCCTACCACCAGCAGCAGTACCATCCCTATTACTAACACCACCCTTTGACAAAGCAGATGTGAAGGATAGTGATCGTTGAAAGAGGCAGGTCAGACAGGAACAGTTAAAATCTCATCATCAGGTGAATTAAAAAACAAAAAAAAATTAAGAAAAGTCCCTCTTGTGCCTAGCTGCTACAAGTAGTAGTGTTACTGACAGTGTTCTGCATTATTGAGGATGAAGAATCACTTATTTTCTCTGAAGACAAATGCTCAGTATGCTGGACATAGTGGAGGAGGTCCAATCTTACTAGCAACCACACTTCTTTGTTGCAGGAGAATTGCTGGGTATTTCCATTGTAGTTTGAAGGCTAGCCATCACTTAAGGCAAGATAAAAGAGGGCTTCCCATACACAAGCTATAACTGAATGTAAGCATATGGTGGTTTGGACATGCTGGGAAGAATTTTGGAACCACAGAGGGCAAACCATAGTCAATCTTTAGACCACTCACATGAATGAGAAAGGAAAGTAAAACTAGGATTGGTTAGACTAAAAACAAAAGCAGGAAGGGATTTACAAGAGGATACGTGTGTAGCTGACTGCCTCAATTAATATTTTTGTTTGGTATTTACAGATAAAAATGAAGGAAAGGGACATCAATTAGGAAATAAGACAGTCATTTGTTACATGTGAGTTTACAGAGGAAGAGGTTCTATTTCAACCATCAAAAGTAAAGACAAGTTGATGGGACCTGATGGAATACACATTAATATAACTTAGTGGTGTACTAGCAAAACCGTTACCTGATTTATTTAACCAATCCTTGTTAACAGGAGTAGTCCCAGTAGATTGGAAATTTTGCGAATGTTGTGCCAATTCACAAGAAAGATAAAAGGAGTCAGACAACTATGGGCCAGTAAGGTTACTCCGTAGTGGGGAAAGTGATGGAATCCATGATAAAGGATAGGATTATTGAACATCTAAAATCACAGGGATTTTAAGATCAGAGACAACATGGGCTTATTTCAGGGAGATCATGTCAAACTAATCTTAGATTGGGTTCTACTTTTGGCCAGCAAATTAACTGGTTGAGTGGTCGAGGCATACCGGGTGGTTCCAGACGAAGACCTCAGAGACTATACTCAGGTAAAAGAGATCATTTTGGCTCGGTATGCAATTACTCAGGAGGCCTGGCGACAGCAATTTCAGGAGCTAAGAAAAAACTCCAAATGGGCCTGGAATTGCTTCAACATCCTAGAGCAATTCTACAATGTATTGGCCTCGGAGATCCAGGAGTGGGTACAGTATTAAATCCCCACCATCCTCATTGAAGCAGCCAGGTGGTCTGATGAATATCAGGATGTCCGCTGTCATCAATGACCTCAGCCCAGAGTGTTTCCTCAAAAAACACCACCGAACGCAGGACCACCAATTCTGCAGCGGTATAGAGGTATAGTTAACCCTGTGCCTCCCTGGATTCAACCACGAGCTGGGGTACAGTGCCACCAATGCCAGCGATTGAGGCATATGAAATGCGAATGCACCCAAGGTAGAAACAGATCCCAGTGGATTTGGCCTGGATCACTCCCCAAACCTCCCGAGAGGCCACTCACTGCTATCATGCTGAGACATACCCAGTTATTTTGGCTCCTAAAAAAATACGAAAAAGAACTGGGGTGTGATGCACGAGGCTGACCCCGTTCAAGCTGCCGCAGACAACCGCCAGCATCACCGGCACTCAGTTTGCCTCAATGAGAAATTTGTACAAGGTCTCCTGGACACTGTAGCCACTTTGACCCTGGTAAAGAGACATATGGTACCAGACTGTGCCAGAATAGGAGGTTCAGTAGCCATTCGGGTGGCAGGGGAAGCAGTTTATAGCCTGCCTACCGCAAAAGTACATTTGAATTGGGGTGCGGGAGCAGGGATGGTGAATGTGGGGCTGATGCAGGAGTTACCTACATTTTGTTGAACGACTTGGGACAGCTTACCTCTGTTTTTGTTCACCAACCGATGACAGAGGAGATGTACCTTCTAACCACCAGGCAACAGCCTCACACCATGGACCAGCGCTCACACTTTGAGGCTCAGGTAGGAGTTATTACCCAACCGTTAGAATGGTGGGATGCGCCTGCTGAGTTTGGGAGGGGGGTAGTCACTGACACCACGCTCCAATTAAAAAGGGATCCAGTCATCTCCAGTCTAGAGGGAGAAAGGATAGTGGCTGGGTCAATACTGATCCCCTCTAAGCAGCTAGTTATCCCGCAGAAGTATAGACAGGAGTACATGGTTCAACAGGGGAGCTAGGGACCGCAGCTTCTAAGTAGGACAGAAGGTTTTGATTTTAATATCAATCCGCAAAGACAAGCTGCAGGCTGGCTGGTAGATCCCATATCAGGTGGTATAATAAAAGTGCGATACCACCTATGTGATTGTCCTTGCTCTTGTGCCGGGGGGAGATGCATGCTCCGTGTGAATATGTTCATGTCAGGATTACAGAATGATCCAGCACGTAGAATTGTGTAACACAGAGGACTGATAGGTAACGTATACCGGACATTAGAATGGCTGGACTAACGTACCAAAGAATAGTCAGGAATAGCCGAGGTCAAGGGAAACAGAAAGAGACACAACGATAAGGAAAAGCCAGGAGTCAGGGATGCCCGAAAACAGGGAAGTCAAAAACAATGACCATAATTACCAGAATCAATAACGCGCTCTCGGACAACCACAAGGGAAACCACGACAGGGCACTGAGCAGGATGGGAACTGGGCCTAAATACCCCTCCTCTAGATCTGATAGGCTGTAACTGGCCTTTGACCCCAGAGGCAGTTACCAGGTTCCCATTTGCATAATTGCTGCTTAGCATTAACCCTTCTGTGGATTTGGTTGCTGCTCGGCACAACTTTTCCTGTGTGGACAGTAAATGTCATTAACCACATTTTTATAAGCGGATGAATACGTGACAGTTCAAACACTACCATGAGGACAGAGGAAGTGGTGGTGATCTGCACCCCAGAACAACCTTCTTAAGCACCATCCCAGGAACTAAAAACAGCCCTTGTAAATGTCTCTGTACTGGCTGCTTCCAATCCCATTAAATGTTTTCTTTTCCACACAAACACTTCTATGTTTGGATTGGGAGCAGTACTGAGTCAAATCGGAGGCGATGGTAAAGAGCATCCTGTAGCTTACCTGAGCAGAAAACTCCTACTCAGGGAGGTAAGCTATGCTACCATTGAGAAGGAATATCTGGCCGTGGGGTGGACCCTAAAGAACCTCCATCACTACTTGTATGGACAACCATTTTCATTACTCACGGATCACAACCCATTGGTCTGGCTAAAAAATGTGTGGCGGGGGACAATGCCCAGCTGCTGCGCTGGAGTCTGGAGCTGAAGCACTATAACTTCACTATCGCCCTGGAAATCAGAACATCAATGCCGATGGGTTGTCTCAACAAACTCAACTGGAAAAGTGACCCGTGAGTCTCCCCAGACATCCCCAAGCTGATCTGTTGGGATCAGACTGTGTATGCTGGCTTGTGTTAAATGGGAGCTGTGTGGCGGACCCTATCCTTGTACCTGTATCTTTTCCCCGAAAGAGCTATTCACTATCCCCCTGTTTCAGTACATTCCCTACTCCTAAACGTTAACTGCTGAAAACGCCTCTTCGCAGTCATTTGGCTAAAAAAACTCCTGAAAGGTCTCAAGCAGTACTTGGCCGCAAACCCTCTGGAACTAACCAACACTGCCACTGCAACTCGTGGCTCCTGGTAAACTTGATCCACGGTTTTACTCCACTTGCCGGCTTTCCAATTCGAGCAATCGCTCCCTGAAAACCAGGGGAGCCCTCTTTCGTTGGATCGAAGGACCTCCCACTATTTGACCGGCCCTAGCCATAATTACGCAGGAACTGTTTTGGGCTTAGACCTCTTGTGCGGCTGGTCAAGACTTTATCCTGGTGGAGATTGGGCAATTGTTCCTGGGTCCAGGTGCTATTTGGAGATGTATAATATGTGGGGTTCCTCTGTGTATTTACTATGTTTTGAGGTGTTTTTATGTTAGGCACTCTGTATCCAGGAGATAATTAGTTTAGCAGACAGCAATTCAATTATTTCCCAGATACAGAGGCGCCTGAATGGGCACTGAATATACTGAATGCTGGATTCGGCTTAATAAAAACAGTTGTACTCCCAGAACTGTGTCTAGTTACTTGGGGTAATAGAGCTATTCACTAAAGAGCGCTTCTTCCAGCTTCGAGGATATTCGGCGGAGATACCCAGTGGGGGTATTGGAGTTCTACTAAATTCATCTAAATAAATTACTCCTGCTATTCCTCTTTTTTAAAATGCCTCTCATTGTAGTGGTTTCATCCTACTTGATTGAGTCTTGCATGTCTGCTACCTAGGGCACTTTTTTTTTTTTTTTTTACACTGAAGGACGATCTCTCACTCTACAGACTGGATGCAAAGGAAACCTTTGTTCTTCTAAGGGTGGAGTTGGTGAGTGGGTCGTCAATTTCCCACTGAATTTTTAACTTTAAGTTTTTGAGAAATCCCATTTCAAAACTTAGAAGACTCCTGGCACTTATTTTTATTTAATACAAGATAGCAAAAAGGAAAATATTACAATCAATCAATCACTAGAAAATTAGTTTGTTTACTTTATATTTATTTTTATTATTTATTTATTTTTAAATTCAGGTATATAATGTAATTTTACAAACTCAGAATTGGAATTGCAAAGATGTCTAGCTATAGGCATTTACACAATATTGTAGCTATTTTTGCATTGCAGCACACTAAAAATTGCCTTTTTACCTACTTTTTTGGCTGGCAAAATGTTTTTTCACAAACAAAATTTGCCAAAACACCAAAACAGGCAAAATTCTGTCAATTTGATGAATGTATTGGAATGACTAAATTTTTCCGCCATGCACAAGTCTAATTAATGTACTGATATCCTATGTGTCTGCCTATGCTGAATGCATATGTACTATTTGTTCTAGATATGGACTGAGAATGCAGATGGCTCCGGAGCTGTAAACTTTCTCACAGGGATAGGAGGATTTCTGCAGGCAATACTTTTTGGATACACCGGATTTCGGTTTGTATTCGCACAGCTAAAATCTTCTAACACAAATCTTTAAACAAATTTAAAACAAAAACAAATTCAGTCATGTTTTCAAATCTGGGTTTACATAATTTGTGGGTTTATGTATGTGTATTTATTGAGATATATATATATATATATATATATATATATATATATATATATAAGAGAGAGAGATACACTGACCACTAAACTTAAAAAGGTAGAACACTTGGGATACTATATTCCTTTTTAGGATAGATCTTAATACTACACACCAACCCTATTAAGATAATTCTAAATATTCTACATCAATCTTACTAGAATACACTGATCTGCCACAATATTAAAACCACTGACCGGTGAAATGAATGACATTGATTATATTATGGCAGCCTACTCACAAGGGACCTGGGTGTCGCTGCCATAGACTCACTTTTCGCTGTTGTGATTAAAGTCCAAGTGATTATAGCTGGTATAGCTGTCTCACCCAACCACTAGTCAAGTCTTAGTGTAGGGTGGAGAATAACTGTTTTATTGAGTGGTTTGCACATTTTTAAACCTGGGTTTTATAAAGAGGGGGTCACCAGGAGAACAATGGATATTTCAACATACCTTGGTGCCGAATGACACTTTGCCGCCAAATTACGATTTCCTAATAAAAACCCAGGCCTGTATTCCTAAACAAGTGCCACCCCCAGATAGCTCTCTCTGGAGCACCCACTCAGTCTACAAAGTGCTTAGAACAGAGGTGTCTTGCCCGAACAGTCTGAATGTAAAGTTTTGACTGGGCTGCAATCATCTTCCAATCTGGCACAGAGTTCCATGATGCTGGGTTTCATTTTGTGAAGAATGTTCCCTGTAAATACCAAGCTGAACTGCTCAAACTCTGCCACAACATCCCCTTAGCTGGGCATCTGGGTATCCCCAAGACAAAGGACTCAGGCA